AGGTCATGTGAAGGAAAAAATAGCATAATGTGAACATTCTTCCGTTCATAGCGCGGATAAGAATTCTTTGATAAATAAAATCTAGAAATCAAGTCAATTAAAACAACTAAGGCATGTTCCGGAAGTGCTTTCTGACTGAGCTCTTCGCACTTGTAAATATTAGGATGAGAAGGAAACGTGTCACGCTATCGGATGTTACGCATCACTTGTTTTGCTGACAAACAACCAAGATCTTATTCTTGATTTGAACCCGACTTGCTACTTTGAAACATTATATGTCAACATTTATAGGTTCCCAGAAAAAAAAAACTGTGGTGAAAAAAATTCTGATGGAAAACAATTAAACAAGTAATCAAGTTCTTGAAGACGCTGAAAATCAAATCAGAGAAGCCTGCGAGGTATTACAACGAGAAGCAACAAGACTTCGCCAACAGAAAGCTATCGACGCCATGTCGGAAAAAATAGAGCACTTCCATCTCTTGTCGATTGTAAACCTCCATGTTGGCGGCCGCCGTTTTACGACAAGTCTTCAAACGCTGACAAAAGATCCAGACTCGATGTTAGCTGCAATGTTCTCCGGGAAGTTGGAGGTGACACCATTAGAAGATGGAGCTTTCTTTATCGACCGAGACGGGAAACACCTCCGGTTTATACTCAACTATCTCCGCACTGGGAAATTAACTTTGCCAAAAGGAGATAAAGATAGACGAACTTGCGGAAGGTACTTTATCAGATCTAAGGGATTCTAGACGAGTTAGTATCTAAAGCACCGAAGTATTTTGAAGAATCAGTGATTCTGACGAATGAAGAACGCCGAAACGTGTTAAATAGTTGGTTGTCACCACAACTTTGCCTTTGTTAAACAAGGTTTGAAATTCTTTTTCTTCATAGAAGCTGCTTACACCGGTGATTGTCAGCCATAAACTCAGTTGCACTGAAAATACAAGTTTGTGACTACATAAACCTATGGGAAAACCAGATTTCTATTTCACCGTTTCTGATTTTCATTGACTTAAACCCGGTTTAAATAAAACATGTTTAATTATGATATAGCCGCTTTTTCAGCAAATGTATTGTTTTCCTATTCCAAAAATTATATTTAGATTATTAATGTTCCATAATACAAGTTATGGCATGTGTACTAATAAAGCATAATTAGGCGTAAATAAAGCGATAAGAATACGACAGGAAAGACAAAGGAAGGTGTCACGCTCTGAACACGCCCTGCTCGATCTCTGCATCCTGTCTGATCCCTTTGTGGTTTTTATGATGAGTGTGAGTGCAAAAGTGAGTAGTCCTCTTCGCAACCATTGTTTGGTTCCGTCACATAATGTCTTCTTGTCACGCAATGGTTGCCGTTGCGTGACGAGACAAGCAAAGGCAGACAAGAAGAGAGGATTTGACTCATGAAAGGATGAAGGACCATGACAGGAAAGATGTGGGGTGCATTGGGGCTAGATAGGTTCAGGAGTGAAAGATCGTGGGATGAATATTTTTATCAACTAGCCGCTGCTCGCTTGCAGAGAAGGGACGTCTCAGTAAGCGTTACGTTGTTTTGAACGCGTACAGCTTACATCGGTACTAATAAGAAGAAGACCGGTATAGGTGTATGAGCTCTAGCAAAAATTAGCGCGAGAAACGTGACAGGAGACCACTCTGAACAAAGCCATGCGTTGAAAAATCGGATCAAGATCTTTTTCTGTTCTTTCTTAATCGAAGTAAATGTTTTCAAACTCCAGACGAAAAGTAAATATGCTTAAGAACGATTCACTATCGAAGTCTCGTAAGCAATGAAATGATCTCCCCCCGCCTCTACTCTACGTACCAAATCGAAATTCAAAGTAACTACGAGTACGACATAAAATGGCCCTTGCCTAACTTAAGAAACTCTGTACAGCCTGATTAATGTTATTTTTTAGCTGTTTATAGATGAAATTGAAGATTTTGCGCTGATTTTTGTACAAAAAAAAAGAGAGAGAGTGAGTGAAAAAAGAGAAGGTGAAGAGCAACATGGATTACAATTTTTAAAAAGCCACTTACCAGTCAATCATGAACCCAATTTGGGGAGACTATGATATACTCTGGATTTAACTCTCGGCCTGACTTAGTCTAAATATCATTTAAAAGAACCAACTATCACCTTTACCGGCACGTCTTTGCTTTGGGTGCGAGTAATGCTTCTTCCCGTAAACAAGGAGTGTGGTTACGAAAACAACTTGCGCCATTGCGAACAGTTTGTACTACGTCATTTAAAAATCACGAAATTACTTTTAGAATAAGCATGACTGCATTCATCATGCTTTACGGCCATGCAGGAGTGTTAAGAGAGTTCCTTTCGTTTTCAGGATATCGTTTGTATTTTAAGTAACCATGAGTAAAAGAGCCTCTACCAAGAGGCAAAAACAACAAAAACAAGGTCTGGACGCTGCAGAGGATCACTTCAAGGAGGCTTGCGAAATATTTCAGCGAGAAGCAGCTAGACTTCGCCAAGAGCAGGAAGCGATCGACGCCATGTCGAAGAAGTTGGAACATGCTCACTTTTCTTCAACTATACAGCTAAATGTCGGGGGTCATCGCTTCACAACAAGTCTTCAAACGCTTACCAAGGATCCAAATTCAATGCTGGCGGCCATGTTTTCCGGGATGTTTGAAATGAAACCCAGTGAAGACGGCGCTTTCTTTATCGACCGAGATGGAACTCACTTCCGGTTTATACTTAATTATCTTCGCAATGGTAAGTTGACTTTACCGGAAGGTGCAACATTTCTGAAAGAACTTGCTGATGAAGCTGAATTCTACCAGATCCAAGGAATTCTGGAAGAGTTGAAGCCTAAAGAACCGAAGAATTTTGAAGAATCAGTGATTCTGACAAATGAAGAGCACCGAAGCAAGCTTAATAGTTGGCTGCCTCAATACGATAGATGGCATCTACTGTTCCGAGCATCTCGAGATGGCTTCAGAGCTCAAACTTTTCACGCCAAATGTAATAGCAAAGGACCCACGGTTACAGTTGTGAAAAGTGGAAACAATATTTTTGGAGGCTTCACGGAAAATTCGTGGAAAAGTAAGTAAATAGGTTAATACAACATTTGAAAGGTTGAGTCGGTAGGGTAAGATGGCGATAATAGAAAGCTGCTTTAGGACTGCTGAGTTTATAAGTTACTCCTAAATTTGTGCCAAAAATTTTTTTTTCTTCTTTGAAACAGGTCACGCTAACTACGTGCACTGCTCACAGTCATTCTTGTTTAGCATGGTGAATCCGCAAGGAGTGGCCCCGAGTAAACTGCCTCTTGTGAAAAATCAGGAGTGTGCCATTAAGTGTAGGAGCGACCATGGACCAACCTTTGGAGGAGGGCATGACATATATATATCACATAACGCAAACACAAGTGGTGCAAGTTACAGTAATCTCGGCCACACGTATCAGCGTCCCACCGGACAGCAGAGCACATTCTTCACAGGAGCTCCACATTTCAATGTGACGGACTTCGAAGTCTTTGGAATCTGCTAATGACAGCCGTCACAAACATTTGAGAAGCCAGCAGGCTAAACTTCACAATGATTTGAACTATCTACTCGGTTAACTCTTTGAAAAGCTTAACTTTTATTTCCATTTTTTACATCGAAAAGCACTATTTTATTCTGTCTGCAACCAAAGTAAAGTACAAGATTCCCGTAGAAACCCATACTACACTATCAGACTATGTCTCTACGGAAATCTTTTCAAGCAAAGTTCCACACTTCATTATAAACTGTTCTTTCAGGTTGAAAGTAATGGCAAACAGTAAATTGCCTTTAATTTGGGATCACAGCTTTGCATTGTTTTAGAATAGTATTGGGTTATACGGAAAGCTTTCTAGTTGTTTGGCTGACGGAGAAGAAGCCGTCACAAGTACTGAAACAAAATCTATTTGAGACCATTTAACACTTTAATTTTTAGTGGATACCGCCGACAGCCACTCTATACAATTCCCGAGGTAGAGAATCAATCTGTCGAAAAGCTGTTAACGATCCAATTGTTTAAAAACTTTTTTCGTTTGTGCACTCGTTTCACCGGTTAAAGAAGGCCAGATGAAACAAAACAAACAAAAATTAGGATTTGGTAGGCCGCTCTTTACATGGAACGTAATAAATATATTGTTGACTTGTCGGTTGTGTATTCGTGTGAATTGTCAGACTTCTGACGATTCTTGCTGAAAGAATAAAATTTTCAATTCATGAAGCTATGTAACTCATCGGACGAATGCTGCCTACCGCACTGATTGTGATTCAAATGGCGGACATAAGATATAATCGGTGATACTAACCTAAATATGACCGCTGTTTGATGTCTCGATGTTTTCTCAAACATCACAATCCAGAAAATATTCGTTAAGGTCATGTGAAGGGACAAAATAGCATAATGTGAACATTCTTGCGTTTATAGCTTTCGTGTGAATAGGAAGCCATAAGTGACGGGCGCAGTTCTTTAATAAGCAGCATCTAGAAATAAATTCAATTAAATTAAACTAAGGCATGTTCTGAAAATGTTCCTTCACTAGGCTCTTCATGAGAACAAAACGTGTCACGCTATCGCAAGTCACGCATCACATGTTTTGTTTACAAACGACCACGCTCTTATTCCTGTTTTGAACTCGACTTGCTACTATGAAACAGCATTTCAACATTGGTTAGTTCTCAGAAAAAAAGTTGGGGTGGAAAAAAAATTCTCATGGAAAATAATTCAAAAGGAAATCAAGTTCTTGAAGACCAGAGAAGCCTGCAACTTATTACAACGAGAAGGAACAAGACTTTGCCATGAGCAGAAAGCTATCAACGCCATGTCGAAAAAAGTAGAGCACGTTCATCTCTCGTCGATTGTAAACCTCAGTGTTGGCAGCCGCCGTTTTACAGCAAGTCTTCAAACGCTGATAAAAGATCCAGACTCGATATTAGCCGCTATGTTCTCCGCGAAGTTCGAAGTGAAACCATTAGAAGACGAAGCTTTATTTATCGACCGAGATGGGAAACACTTCCGGTTTATGCTCAACTATCTCCGCACTGGAAATGAACTTTGCCAAAAGGAGATAAAGATAGACGAACTTGTGGAAGAAGTTTTATCAGATCAAAGGGGTTCTAGAAGAGTTAGTATCTAAAGTACCGGAATATTTTGAAGAATCAGTGATTCTGACGAATGAAGAACACGGAAGCGTATTAAGTGGTTGGTTGTCTCCACAAGAAGGCAAATGGAAGATCCCGGGATGGCTTCCAAGCTCGAACGTTTCACTCCTCATGTGTCGCCAAAGGGCCTACCGTCACCATTGTGAAAAGCGGAAATTATATTTTTGGAGGATTCTCTGAGATATCGAAGGACAGTAAGTGTGTTAGTTGTGACATGGTTAAATAATGATATTTTTGGTCACATTTAGCGGCGTTAGTTATACATTTTAGGTTAAAGGATATTTCAAAATAGAAAAGATAACAAATCGCAACGAGACACCGAGACGTAAAAAGAGAGAAAAAGCTGGTTTAGGATCTTTGGGATTGCAGAAGTTAAGGAAATTAGAATGAAATATTAGCAGTCAGATTAAGTGTAAATAAATCTCTTCAAACTTTCCCAAATATTGACACGCATTGCAAATGATAAACAAGATAGACAATAAGTTTCAACAGGTGCTCGTCAAGTATGGGCTCCTGGTGTCAAGAACTCGTTCAAGACGATTTTTAAAGGTGTGCCACACACCAGAAAGGCGTGTCAGCCTCAAGTAGGCAACGCCTACTGAAGGTCTCCTAGGTTGAACCCCTTCAAAAGCACATCAGTTTCAATATCCAAAAAACATCCAACCACATTATTTGAAGTTTTATTCATATTTTCGTAATATTCTTATTTTCTCAGAGGAATAATATTACGAGGGTTATTTACCTTGTATGATTCGTTGCATTTACATACACTTTTTAGCGCCGCTGATTATATACCCAGGGCACAGTTTCCCACGCCATGTACGTTGCTTGAGCGTTACTTGCAGTTTTTTACTGGGATACCTGTGGTAGCCCAGTCATAAAATGCCTTTGTTTTTTTGTCGTCTTTTTACTGGGATACCTGTGGTAGCCCAGTCATAAAATGCCTTTGTTTTTTTGTCGTCTTTTTTTTTTTTTTTTTTTTTTTTTTCCTCCGCCACAAAATGGAAAAATTGCGCAATAGTACCCAGAGGTCATTGGGCTCTCAACACCATGACAACTAACTGTGATCCAATGAGGTGTTCACATACTGATCACGCGTGTTATCCCTCGACACCATGACAACTAACTGTGATCCAATGAGGTGTTCACATGCTGATCACGCGTGTTATCCTGATGATGATTGACGTTGTCATGCACAGACAGGGCCGGGTCACATGACGAACACGAGATTTTCCTCATGAAACTCTTTGGTCAGTTGTATTGCATTTCAACGTATTTGGATTGCGATCTCCTGGAGCATTGTAGCGCAAACGCGCAAAATACTTACAGACGCATATACAAGTCGTATTAATCGCAGCTAATCCACACTGAAAGATGTTATTGAGCGGTAATTTTGGAACGGATTGAGTCGCGAACGCTTGAAAGCCATGAAAGCCTTGAATGCTTTGAATGTCTTGTATGCTAAGTATGCCAATGTCTTAGTTGAAAAACGTTCACTTGTTGTAAAAAGCAAAATCTGAAATCTGAAACCAAACTGCATATACTCTATGCAATCTATTGAACAACGCTACTACCGTGAGACTGAAGAACATAACTATAATGGATGCAAACTGCTTGTGAAGAAAGACGACATGTTGGATTCACTTGATGACAAGGAACGTAGCTACGATAACAGTACGAATGATATTAATTTCACGATCAGAAAGGTGAATCTTATGTTTGTTTTCATTGTAGTTGTATGGATATTCTTTTTTAATAAATACGTGATCCAAAACCCTGTGTTTTTTTGTGTATAATGTTGTTATGTTAAATATTGTTTACGCAATTGTCTTGTCACAAGCGGCCCAAGCTCACGTCTCGAGAAAAAGCCAACGATTAATTCAACACGCGTTGTGTGACTCGGTGTTAAGTTACGAGAGGAACTGCACGTTATAAGGAATAGTACAGGGAACGAAGTATGGTCGATTTACAACGATACATATTTCGAAATATGAACATTTTTCTCGTAAAATCAATAAAACTTACTCATACCCTGTGTATCCGTTGTATTTTCTGGCGATTTCTACCGTTTTAAGCTTGCTTTACCATCGCTGTTGTTCACATCATCTACTTTTATTACGTTGATAAAATCTGTACAGACATCACACCAACCAACTCGCGCGCAAAGTAAGAAGACTATATTGAAGGCTTGAAATAATATTGCGATCGATTTTCATCATGAAATGGGCCAGGAATATTCCACAATAGTGCAAATAATCGTGAAGGCGGATTGCAGAAAAGCGATTGCGTGACGCTCGATAAGCTGTAAGATGACATGTTATTATATACCAGACGTAAAAACTCTTCAGATTCTTAGTCTGCATTTTGTACCCACTCTGCAGTCTGCAGTCTATATTTTGTATCCGGTCTGCAGTCTGCTGTCTGCATTTTTTACTAACAGGTATCCGTGGCGCCAATACAGTTAAATTTTGGTTACATTTATTCGCAAAACACACATAATCTACCACAAAATACCTGTGAGGTAGGTAATTCGACATTTTCGTTCTTTCCCACAATAATATTCTTCTCTCCTTTTGTAAGAATGTAGACATCACCCACAATGTTTCAAGTAATCCACCCACCCTACAAAAAAGGAACTCTTGCACGCATAGCATGCCTATGTTTTGAAATAGGTGTATGCCCTTGGCCAGACTTGAGTGCACTATTTCAGTATACTAGTCCGACACCCGTAGTATCACTACACTTGATTCCAAGGATCCAGTACCATCTAGGTATCCCAGTTACCCTGCTCACAGGGTCTAGTTTTTTTTTTCCTCCGCCACAAAATGGAAAAATTGCGCAATAGTACCCAGAGGTCATTGGGCCCTCAACACCATGACAACTAACTGTGATCCAATGAGGTGTTCACATACTGATCACGCGTGTTATCTTGATGATGATTGACGTTGTCATGCACAGACAGGGCCGGGTCACCTGACGAACACGAGATTTTGCTTATAAAACTCTTTGGTCAGTTGTTTTGTATTTCAACGTATTTGGATTGCGATCTCCTGGAGCATTATAGCGCAAACGCGCAAAATACTTACAGACGCATATACATGTCGTATTAATCGCGGCTAATCTACACTGAAAGATGTTATTGAGCGGTAATTTTGGAACGGATTGAGTCGCGAACGCTTGAAAGCCATGAAAGCCTTGAATGCCTTGTATGCTAAGTATGTCAATGTCTTAGTTGAAAAACGTTCACTTGTTGTAAAAAGCAAAATCTGAAATCTGAAACCAAACTGCATATACTCTATGCAATCTATTGAACAACGCTACTACCGTGAGACTGAAGAACATAACTATATGGGATGCAAACTGCTTGTGAAGAAAGACGACATGTTAGATTCACTTGATGACAAGGAACGTAGCTACGATAACAGTACGAATGGTATTAATTTCACGATCAGAAAGGTGAATCTTATGTTTGTTTTCATTGTAGTTGTATGGATATTCTTTTTTAATAAATACGTGATCCAAAACCCTGTGTTTTTTTGTGTATAATGTTGTTATGTTAAATATTGTTTACGCAATTGTCTTGTCACAAGCGGCCCAAGCTCACGTCTCGAGAAAAAGCCAACGATTAATTCATGAACGCGTCACGCGTTGTGACTCGGTGTTAAGTTATGAGAGGAACTGCACGTTATAAGGAATAGTACAGGGAACGAAGTATGGTCGATTTACAACGATACATATTTCGAAATATGAACATTTTTCTCGTAAAATCAATAAAACTTACTCATACCCTGTGTATCCGTTGTATTTTCTGGCGATTTCTGCCGTTTTAAGCTTGCTTTACCATCACTGTTGTTCATATCATCTACTTTTATTACGTTGATATCACACCAACCAACTCGCGCGCAAAGTAAGAAGGCTGTATTGAAGGCTTGAAATAATATTGCGATCGATTTTCATCAAGAAATGGGCCAGGAATATTCCACAATAGTGCAAATAATCGTGAAGGCGGATTGCAGAAAAGCGATTGCGTGACGCTCGGTAAGCTGTAAGATGACATGTTATTATATACCAGACGTAAAAACTCCTCAGATTCTTAGTCTGCATTTTGTACCCACTCTGCAGTCTGCAGTCTATATTTTGTATCCGGTCTGCAGTCTGCTGTCTGC